TTCCCTAGCACTGAGCCAGGGCAGTGCCTCAATTTAATGTGCACTATTTCTGGCAGTCTGCTTAGGCCCTTTCTTACATTTTTATACTTTAATAAATGGAGGAAGGTGCTCTTCATGCTCCCATAAAGAGGTAACAAATGTCACTATTACGCAAGTTACTCATGACATAGTGTTGTTCTACAGTAACTGTGACACCTCAGGAGCAGCTGCATTCATGCTACCATACATCTTGAAGGGGAACAATACCTGGATCGTTTACGGTCCTTGTCCCTTCGGTGTCCATCTTTCTCACGATCTCGGTCTTTCTTGCTGCGCTCCCGCTCTTTGTCTCGCTCCCTCTCCTTATACCGCCGTTCTCTATAGAGGATTTATATGCAGAACAATTTCAGCACATGCCAAACAAGCTAACTTCATCACATAATAGAAAGCAGAAGGCATTCATTGAATTTGTGACATTCATTTACTGTTCAATCTCACTGAATTTTAAAACATCCCTATGAAATGACATGACAGTGGAAGAAGTGATGGATTTGGCAATAAGCAACGTAATCAGCATCTTAAGAATTTATTTCCTTTTTATAAAAAAAAATAGCAAAGATGTGTAGGAAGGTCTTTAAGTCTTCAAAATTTGACAAGTTTCCATCCCAACCTGTAAATGGCAGAAGTCAAAGAAATTATGTAAAGTTCAGAGAAACATAGATTTTAGGTGTACATAATTTTTGTAGGGCTCACAATTCAAGTCCTCTCACTGGAGGCTGGTTTGACACTGTACAGAACTTGAAAAAATATCAGCACCACAGAGTATCTGTAGCCTCTGTGTAATAAAGACAGAACAGCATGTGCAGATGGAGACACAGTTTTAATTTTGGGTTGCAGCAACATTAAAAAAAGAAAAAGAAAAAAAGCTCAATCTAGGAAACAGAGAATTGTACTCTAGCTGTATATGCCTGTCCATAACAGACAAGGTAAACAGCTGTTGCCTCCCTTACTGAATGTACATGAACAGAAAAAGAGAGAGAAAAGAAGAAAATAACTCATTACCTCCATGTTTTTTAAAAGCACAGATCTGTAAGTTTGGTCACCAAAATGGAAATCTTATGAAAATGGGAGGCTGGTGGGAAAAAGTAATCCCTGAATGTATTTTAGAAGAAACTTTCAAGTGTTCTCTAAAGGTCTTCAAAGTTTTGTTTACTTATGCAAGGCTTTCCTGACCTGGTTGTTTAATTTTACATGTGCATACTGTTAGTTTTGAATAAGAAGTTTGCTGAAACATTTTGCACTGCTTTTCTTTTCTTTTTCTTTTTCTTTCTTTTTTTTTTTTTTGGGTGTTGCAACCTATCATTATTCTCTCCATGTTAATTCTACCTCTGGTACCAAATTTTCTGTTAAAGAAGTATTGCTCAGGAATACAGCTACTTTGTTAGCTGATGGATACCTGTATTTACAAAATCTAGGTTCAGTGCTGAGCTGCTTAAACCTAATGATAGCCAAATCTACTTCTACTCCCTGCTACCACACCACCCAAACCTGAATAATCAAGCTCTCTGTAAGAGAGACCAGAGTGACAACACTACCCCAAAAGAATGTCTGGCATTACCTTTCAGCTGACTTCGACCTAGATCGGGATCTTGACCGACTGCCTCTCCTCCTTTCACGGGAGCGATGCCGCTTTCTGTCCTTGGCACTGGGGGAGCTTTTCCTATCACGCTCTCGGTCACGTTCCCGGTCTGCTGAACGCGAGCGTCTTCGCTCTTCTTTGACTGGTGAAGAATCTCGCTCTCTTTTTTCAACAGTTTCTCCAGCCATCTGGATAAAGAAAGAGAAATTAGTATGTGACAGAAGAATTGGAAACTGGGCAACAAGACTACTATGCTATGGAATGACATAACCCTAACCCTAACCTTAACCCCAACCACGTAGGGCTTTAAAGGTAATAACTAACACTTTGTACTTTGCCCAGAAACTAATCGGCAGCCAGTGGAGTGCTTTTAAGATCAGTATAATGTGATCACACCTGGATGTATCCATAATCAGTCTGGCTGCCTTATTCTGAACCAGTTGGTTTCCAGACTTGATACAAAGGTAGCCCAATGTATAGCACATTGTAGAAGTCCAGCCTTCAGGTTACCAATGCATGCACTACCATCTTTAGGCACTCTGATTCTAGGAAGGGATGCAGTTGGCGTATTCCAGTAGATGACTTGAAACAACAGAAAGCTCTGGTCTATCAAAGTCAGTATTATCAGCCACAATTCAGGGTTTCAGATTGTCTTTCCCAGCCATGCCTAAAGATCCTCAGGCCTAAACTTGGGACTTTTGCACACAAAGCCAAGTTCATCATGTGTGAACTACTGTGCTGGCTTTCAATGTGTGGAGAAAGCTAAGGACCAAGTACTGGAGATCCCTGAGGCTAAACCTCAGATGAAGGAAATGTATGTCCCCAACTCACTACCAATTACCGATTCATATATGCAAGAGTGATTAGAGAGGACAACCTCTTTAGGAAAGGGTCATTTTATCTCTCACTCTTTTTACAACAAGGCCAAGTAGAATAGCTCATTCACAGACCTGTCAACTAATCCAGTTTTAATCCTCTGATTTAAAAACAACATACAAGCTAGTGATTTAAAAATCCCAATATACCTGCTGCCACACTGCAGAATTAATGCAGTTTGACCCTGCTTTAACTGTCATGGCTCCATCCTATGGAATCCTGGGATTTGTAGTTTGTTGTGGCACCAGAGCTCTCTGAAAGAGAAGGCTAAATAGTTCACAAAACTACAGATTCCAGATGTCCATAGCAATGAGTTATGGCAATTAAAGCAGTATCAACTTGCATTAATTCTGCAGTGTAGATGCAGCCTACATGTATTTAACCTGACTAGACTCTGTAACTGAGTACTAGTTTCATGTTCATACATGCCTGGAGTGAGCAATTACAGACTTTCCAGGAAAAAAACCCAAACAAAATCTCCACCCGTGGTTTTAGAAACTGTTTTGAGGTGTTTTTTTGTTTGAAAATGTTAAATAGTACAGAGGCAGCATGCAACCTGCTTAAAAGGTGGGCTGCCACTCTTGGAGAGTATCAGGAAACACAATTCACCTGGGAGAAAGGGGAAAAAGGGACAGCCCAGACAGTGAGGTGGGGTTGAGGCTGCAAAAACACTCCAGCCTCTGACCATCTGACAGTGTACAGTGTATACACACATAGGGTTGCTTCCTGTATAATTGTTTTCCTTTACAGGGTGAGTGGTGAAGGGGGAAAAAGTACACATAAGTGATGCAAATAATAATAAATATATTTCACTGTTTCACTGCATGTGTATGTGCCTTCAAACCACTTGTCAACTTATGGCAACCCCATGAAATTCCCAAGGCCATCTTAGTTAGGCAAGGTTTTGCCACTGCTTTCCTCTGCAATAAAGACTACAGCACCTGGGATTTGTTGGTGGTCTCCCATCCAAGTATTAACCAGGCCTGACTCTCTTTAATTTCCAAGATCAGATGGGAGCTTTAGAGCATTTAGGCCTGCATACAGACATGATTAGAAGCCTCAACTATCAGTACATCCATGAAGGTTGTGGATATTGTTGTTGTGTGCCTTCAAGTTGTTTCCAACTTATGGAGAGCCCAAAGCAAACCTATCATGGGGTTTTCTCCTCTGCTAAATATATACACATGAATGTGTAGTTCCAAAATTTGTATGATCGATAGATTAGACTATGACCAGGAACCTGGGTTCAAATCCCAACTCAGCCATGAACTTCATGGGATGGCCTTGGTCCAGTTACCATCTCTCAGTCTAATCCCCATCCCCTGCTTCACAATGTGATCCTGAAGATAAAACAGGAGCAGAAGGAGGACATGGGGATGTCTTTCTGAACTTTGTGGAGAACAGATGGAATATCAATATAACATACTTACAAAATTGATTTTAAAATAAAAATAGATGGTATGATGCTATAGATATTTACATAGGAAAAAGTGGCTATTCATACAGTCTAATCATAAAAAGTCCTTCCTGGACAACACTTCATTCCATGCATCTCAAGGTTCAAAATACATTGCAGAAATAATCTAGTTTGAGACCACTTTAACTGCCCTGGCTCAATGCTAGGGAATTCTGAGAACTGTAGTTTTGTTAGACATTTAGCTGCCTCTGGTGCCATAATAAACTACAATTCCCAGGATTCCCTAGCACTGAGCCAGGGCAATTAAAGTGGATTATTTCTGCAGTGTTTTGGACCTGAGAGAGTAGACCAAGGGGGGTTGCAGACTGCCAGAAATAGTGCAAATTCAGTCCACTTTTAGGGTTAGGGAATCATGGGAACTGTATTTTATTGTGGCACCAGAGCTCTCTGACAGAGAAGGCTCAATGTCTCAGGGGAAAAAAATTCCCATGATTCCCTAGTACTAACCCTAACCCTTAAAGTGGACTCAATTTGCACTATTTCTGGCAGTCTGCAACCCCCCCAAGTCTAGAAAAGCTCATGCTACCAGCTTCTTTCTCTCAGTTAAGTCTCAAAGCTGCTACAAGATCCCTTTGTATACTGATATTCCTGACTAACACAGCTATGTCTCTGAGTAGGAAAAAGTGATATTTGGAGAAATACAAGCAATGACATCTCAGTTACTTATGGCCTGCAGGAGCGAATTAAAACCTGTGCTCTTCCAGTGAAGTCAAGCGGACCATCAGAATTACTATTTCTTCAAGAATCCCAGGACCTTGGCATCCCACCAACAATCCATGATTATTCCTAAACTGGAGGGATGGGAACATTTAATTTCTAGAGAGCCAGTATAGTGGTTTGGACTGTGTAGTGGTTTGGACTGTGACTCAGGAGACCAAGATTTGAATCCCAGCTCAGTCATGAAACCCACTGGGTGACCTTGGGAAAGTCACACTCTCTCAGCCTCTCAGAGGAAGGCAAAACCCACTCTGAACAAACCTTGCCAAGAAAGCTCCATGATACTTTAAGTTTTAATATTATAATTAGCGAGCCAGCGTGGCTTAGTGGTTTGAGTGTGTCAGACTATGAGTCTGGAGACCAGGGTTCAATTCCCAGTTTGGCCATGGATGGCCTTGGGCAAGTCATATTTTCTCAGTCTCAGGGGAAGGCAAAGGTAAACCCCCTCTGAACAAATCCTGTCAAGAAAACCTTGCCATAGGTTTGCTTTAAGGTCACCATAGTGAAGGTACACAACAACAACAACAACAACAGGCTGGGAAATCTCATCTCTAAGCTGGAAATCCGTTCCCACCAGGATCCCTGGGGAACTACAGACGCTACACGGCGAAGAGGCCGAGGCACTCTGCACTTCCTCAGAGGTACGCTCAACTTCTCGATGGTCTTAGCCTCCAGAGGTCCAAAACACACTGAGGAAGGGCCTCTGCAGACTGCCAGAAACAGTGCACATTAAACTGAGGCACTGCCCTAGCTCAGTGCTAGGGAATCATGGGAACTGTAATTTATTGTGGCACCAGAGCTCTCTGACAGAGAAGGCTCAATGTCTCAGAAAAAAATACAATTCCCATGACTCCCTAGCACTGAGCCAGGGCAATGCCTCAATTTAATGTGCACTATTTCTGGCAGTCTGCAAAGGCCCGAAATCATCCAGTTTGAGATGGCTTTCACTGCCCTGGCTCAATGCTAGGGAGTCCTGGTAAGTGTAGTAGTGTTTGAGACACTGAGCCTTCTCTGTCAGAGAGCTCTGGGGCCACAATGAAGAACTACAATCCCCAGGGTTCCCTAGCACTGAGCCAGGGCAGTTAAAGCGGCCTCGAACTGGGTTATTTCTGCAACGTGTTTTGGAATCAGAGTTGAGGGCGGGCGCTGAAAACGGATGAAGGGAGCGGGACCTCTGCTCTGCTCTGCTCTGTTCCGCCCAGCTCCCTCCGCTCCGCCGCCCCGGTTTCCCCTTTTCCCGGCCTGCGACGGGGTCCCACGGAGGAAGGCCCGACTGCCTCACCTGCAACGCTCCCCGACGTCAGTAGCGACTCACTCGGCCTCCAGA